CCCGGTCCAGGGGCCTTCTGGGTGGAGTTTGCATGTTCTCTCCATGCATGCGTGGGTTTTCTCCGGGTACTCCGGTTTCCTCCCACAGACCAAAAACATGCATGTTAGGCTGATTGGTAACTCTAAATTGTCCCTAGGTGTGAGTGAGAGAGTGAATGGTTGTTTGTCTCGTGTGTCTCTACGTGGCCCTGTGATGGACTTGCGACCCGTCCAGGGTGTACCCCGCCCCTCGCACAGTGATTGCTGGACATGGGCACCAGCGACCCCCGTGACCCAAAATGGAATAAGCGGGTAAAGATAATGGATGGATGGACATTGTTCTCTCTGCTTTTCTTTTACCGTCTTTCTTTTCATTCAGAGCCTGATATCGGCTTCTCTTCCTCATAACAAATGATGTCCAGATTGACAAGTTATGGCCTTTTACCTAAGCCTTACCATCAGAGCAACAGCCGTACAGGTGGAAACTTACAGGAGAGTTTCAATCAATAGGCTTGTTCACGCTTCTCCTTATTGCTCTGACTAACTGACTGGCTGATGACCCGTCTGGGACTGTACGAGGTGATTGCAAGCAGTTTGAGAGCCGGAATAATTACGCTCTGCCTGCAGCTGTACCCAGATAACATCAGTATTGGATGGAGTCATCACCCCCCACCCCCACCCCCACCCCACGATTGGCAGTTGCATTTCTTTGTCAAATGGATCTGTGTATCAGTCTTTCTCAGTCCAAATCTATCAGCATTTTATATCATTTCCCTCTTGTTCATCCAAGCTTTTCCCTGTATGTAGCTTCTGTTTTGCTTCAGAAATGGTTGACGTGACATGAACATCTAGAAGTGCGTGATGGAATTTGCCTCTTTACTGTCATCCTACATGGCTGAGCAAAAGGAAGGAGACATGACTTGAAGTGTCTTTTTTTCTCTTCTCCTTTCTTCTCTCCCCTCTTCTCTTGTGCGCATTAGAGACTCTGCTGACTTAAATCAATGCTGCCCTCCCTTGTCCTATGATCAAAGTGAGATGAATAAATGAATTAAAGCCCTCTGGTAATAAGGAGGTGGTTTTAGAAGGATCTCTGTTTCAATACCCACCCCTTCAAAAAATGGTGTAAGGATTGAGGCTTAGCTTTCTGTCGTTCTTTGTAGAGTGAAACTCAGATTTTTCCTGTGATCAAAATGGTGCTGTCGAGTTGTTGTCTCTTTGTGTACAGTGCATTTTTATTTAATTTATTTATTTACTACTTTTGTACTGTCTCGTCCGACTCTTAAGGAAATTAGTTTTGCTGCTCAGAAGCTTGGGTGCTTGGTGTTGGGTGTTCCTGCCTGCTTCTGCTGTTGCCCTGTTTCACTTTGGCTGGGAGGGCGTTTGAGATGCTGGGGAAAACGCAGCAGACTTTTGTTGAGGTTTAAATCTTTATGGACGTCATCTGCTGAAACACCTCTAAACACCTCTTCCTATCATGACTGGACCTGAGCAACATCTTCGGCACATCATTCACTGGCATTTTTTAAAATCTTTTTTACACCTGCCTTGTACTTGTTGCTTTCCTACATCCTGCGCCAGCCTTCCCCACATCACTGGATTGGGCAACCATGTCAGCGATGGACCAGGTTTCAATGGGAATAGTTGACCATAACATCAGGATTTTTAAAGTTGGAGCAATGTAGTTTCAAAAAGCATATACCTGTCTGACAGAAGTATCTCTGTAGGCCTCGAACAATCTGCTTCTTTTTCACCCCTCTTCACATATGAAGTTCTCCAAGGATCTATTCTTGGAGCCATTTTATTTTTAATTTACATGCTCCCCTTGGCTTCATCTTGTGAAAGTTTTTCCTTTCCACTGTTGCCTTTGTGCTTGCTCAGGGTGGGAGACTGTGCTGAAGTGAAGACTTAAAGCAATCTGCTGGCTCCTTAGATAAATAACGTTATTAACTGACTTATTATGTATGTGAATGTTTCTGTTCAGTGCCCTGAGATGACTTCTGTTGTGACTTTTCACCATATAACTAAACAGAATTGAATTGAATCTTTAGAAAATGTTCCTTCTCTTTTCATCCCTATGCAGAAGACACTTAGATCTACCTTCAGTTGAGGTGCAAGCATTGTCTTATAAAGGCAAAAGCTTGGATGGCCTCAAACCTCCTAAATTTCAATTAGAATAAAACTTTAGGTTTTACTTTTGAGTCCCATTGGAAGCCATGGTGGTTCTACAGATCTGGGTAGCCTAGAGCTGTTGTAAAATTTCACATAAAAAATGTGGGAGTGATACATGATTTGAATGTTAACCTTAAGACACAAATCAAGTAATCTTTTATTTAAATTGAGGCTTTTACCTAAAATTGTTTTTAACTTTTAATGGCTGCTAATGGGTGATTCACGTCTTTAAATACAGCTCATTGTAACTCTGTATATCAGTTTCTCATGACTGCAGTTATGACGCAACGCGGCAGCTCGTCTTTTAACACAAACAAAAAAGAAAAAGGATCATATTTTCTTAGTGCTGGCTCCCTGTTTATTTTAGAACAGATTAAGTTTTACTGATGTCCTATAAGACTGAATGGACAGACTCCTGCATACCTGTCTGACACCCTGCAGCCTCCTGCACCCTCCAAATCCCTCAGATATAAGGATCATTTGCTTTTAGTTGTCCCAAGCTCCAGGCTGGTTCACAGAGGTGATCAGGCCTTTTCAGTCGTACCTTCCAATCTGTGGAACCAGCTGCTCCTTTATTACAGACACGATTCAGCTCTTTGTGGTTTAAAGTCTCATCTTAAAATACATTTGTATTTTTGTACTGGCTTTTAATCCAGAATGACAGTTGACATTTTTACATTATTTTAATGGGTTTATCATGTTTATCTTTTTTTTTTTTTTTTTTTAATACATGTTTTCATTTTTGAGGTCTCCTGTGTTTGGTATGGTCTTTTTCACCATTTACTGTTTTGTGTGTAGTATTTTGGCCAAGAACAGTTGTTGTTAAATTGCTATATAAATAAATTTGATTGGATCTGATGCAAGTCATGCTCATGCTTTTTATTGGGGGGTAGGGGAAGAGAAGAAACTGTTCTTGAGCTCGCAGTGCTTCTTGCCACTGATGATGGTGTCCTTTCCTAGTTGGCAATATCAGATGCCTTCTGTGTAATTTTAATCAGTGCAGGGAAAGGGAAAAGGGGCAAGAAGTAGGATAAGACATGTATGTGTTTGCTGGCAAATGAAAGGGAGGTAGACACAGGTGATAGACAGAGTTCATCGAGTGTGTATGTGTTTTTGCATCTCTCTGTGTGTTTGAAAACGACAGGCAAAGAGCGAGATGGAGTGAAGGAGAGTGCAAGCCAGATAGTGTGTATGTGTATGGAGGGAGAGACAGAGGGAGGGGAACTGATATCGTGTGAGAGAGAGAGATAGAGAGTGGGGGAGTTGTGGTTACGTGGAGCAGCACCCTGCTTCATGAGGCGGCATAAGGCAGACCTGCAGTGCGATCACACAGCATGGGAATGGGGCTATGAGAACGAGAGAAAGGAAGCAGAGGGAGACGAGAGCAAGAAGGAGGGGGGGGAGTTAAAAAGAAGCTTGAGGGATTAGCTCGGATGAAAAGAGAAGGTTGGGGTGGGGGGGATGATCACTGAGTGTGTAGCCCATTGTGGATGCTGGAAGGACGTGGCAGCAGCGGCTGATGTTGAGGCAGGTCTGTGGTCTTCGCTGTTGAAGTAAGCCAGCATCAGGACGTTATGCCCTGTGAGCATTGAGGGGTATTGTGTGTGTGTTTGTATGTGAGTGTGTGTGTGTGATCCTACATCTATGCTGTCTGCATGTCTCGAACAGGCAAGGGATGCAGCAAACCTCTGCCCTGAGCACAGAGGCTGCTAGCCGAACCCAGCAAGGAGGAGAACCAGGTGGGCTTTGGACAGGAGTGCAAGGAGGGCTGCTTGCCTCATGAAGAAGCCATCATAAGATGTTCTGTGGTCCTGCTGTGATCCTGGCTTCAGAGTGAAGAAGACTCACCTACCGTGTGTTGGATCTGAACCTGGATTTTAACGCTCTTTGAGGGATGAGAAGCACGTTCTCTGGCAGAGTCGCGCAGACAAGCAGCCTGCAGAAGAGTGTGGATGCTGGGCAGCACCAGGAACACCAAGGACACTGAGCCTTTTCCCACACATCTTACCTGGAGAAAGGAATATACATGTGGATTTGATTATGAATTGAGGAGTTTGGAATCGGCACACTGTGGAAACCTTAAGCCAACGTTTCTTTGATGTAGGATTTACAATATGTCTACCTGATCGTACTCTTGTGTGGCTCTGGAGTATTGACGGAATATGATTTAGGAGAAAATGTGTATTCCTTGATCAAAAATAACACAAGTACCTCAACAGTACTTTAGAATGCTGCTACCTTCATTGTATGAGCCTTGTCCTAGCTCTCAAAGAGGTTGACCAATGAAGCCATGGGACTCAGCCAGAGCTTTACAAGTATGTGGTGAAAACCCTGTCAAATTCATTTTGGGGGAACTGAATATATTTGTGTCACACCCTAAAGCAGATTTTATTACATATCTTTAATGACAGGAATATTTTCTAGTATATAATGTGTGGTATATGAAAATGTGAGATTTAGTTATATATAATTTCTAGTCTTTTGATTTGTAGCACTGAGTATTGTCATGTTTTGGACTAGCTAGGACTTTGTTTTCACACTTGCTCATCTGTTCACTAAAGGAATGTTTAGTGAACATTGTTTGTTGGAAGGTGCCCTAGAGGCTCGGTCCAACAGAATTAACAAACCTAAGCTTCAGATGGGCTTCCTTCCCTGCACTACCTTCACCCTCGTCTGACATCTCTAGTCAGTCACATTAACACCAGTAACAGTAGCTTAGTCAGTCCCCTAGTGGGCCCCAAGAGGTGCCTGCCTGCAGCACTTCCTTCCTACCCCCCCTCCTGTGTTTGAGTTTAGCTGGGCCCCCGCCTGTACTGTGGGAGCCCCTCATCCCCAACCTGGACCCTGTCTCCCCCTCACCCCGCCTGGTGCTGCTGCACTCGGCTCTGCCTCTGCTGGCCGAGGATGATGTGGCAATGCCATGTGTCGTCCTCTGAGTGCCGCTGCTACCGGCTGAACGGCTTCTCCCTGCTGAAGCGCTTCCCTCTCTCGGCAGATGGGGCCTGTGGTAAAGCCCTGGACCAGCCGGTGGGAGAGTGGCTGGAGCACGTGGGGCTGCCGCAGTACGAGAGCAAGTTCCTGCTCAATGGCTTTGATGACCTACGATTCATGGTGAGTCACCTGCAGCATGTCAGCTCAGGGGTCGGATCCACTCTACATCACCCCGTCTCTTCCTGTGTCAGCCCGGCTCCATTTGTCTTTTTATGTCACCACCACTCCACTCACTCACCCTCTGCTTGTCTCTTAAAGGCCCAACCTCCTTATTTCTCTTCCTTGCCCTTTCTCCCTTCCCTCTTGACACTTTCCCCTCTCTCCCTAATATCTCCTCTTCAACTCTGTGCAACGCATGACCCAGCAAAGATTTATGGCTCCTCACTGAATCCTTTAAAGACTCTGGTCTGCCACCAGTAGCAAGACAAATGACAAGAAGAACCCATTAGCTTTTGTTTTTCCCAGCATTCCCCATCACCCTATCTTTTACCACACACTTCAATAGTTACCTTCTTCCCCATTAATAATTCTCTTTATTTTTTTGTCATCTGATCAGGACAGTCTTCCACTGAAATACAGAGTGGTTTACTCTAAATACATTCTGCATGGTTGCACTTTACAGTTATTAACTTTGCCTGACATTTTAATGAGACATTACTGCAGTAACTGCACCATGGATTAAAACACTGTAGCAGCATGCACTAATTATTGCCCGCCACCTGGCAGGGTGACACTGTTTTTACTTGTGTGTGTGTGTATATGTGTGTGTGTTTGTCTATTAGTGAATATCTCATGAACCATTATACAGATTTTAATGAAACTCTTAACAAGGAATACTTAGTTATACATCTACAACTAAATTTACTTTAGGAGTCAAACCACGTCAAGAAGCCTCCACAGCAAACACAAAAGTTTGCTATATAACCCGAACTATTTTAAAGCTACTGTCCTGAAAATTGATGTGGTAGAAGCTGAGAATCATTAACACATACTATCAGTGCTACAGATTGTACATCTTCAATTAAAACTTTAGTTAATAATGTTTAAAGTTAACAAGGTCTGTCTGTTCTCAACATATCTCATAAACTTCTGGCTGATTTTATTTAAACTTTTAAATAAACATGTACAGAATACCTTTTGGCAGGCAGCACCATGACAGAATTAAAATACGTATATTTAAAAAGCAGGCAGCACGAGGGCGCAACTGGTAGAGCTGCTGCCTCTCAGCGAGCAGGTCCTTGGTTCAAACCCCGGTCCAGGGGCCTTTCTGGGTGGAGTTTGCATGTTCTTTCCGTGCATGCATGGGTTTTCTCCGGGTACTCCGGTTTCCTCCCACAGACCAAAAACATGCATGTTAGGCTGATTGGTAACTCTAAATTGTCCCTAGGTGTGAATGAGAGAGTGAATGGTTGTTTGTCTCGTTTGTCTCTATGTGGCCCTGTGATGGACTTGCGACCCGTCCAGGGTGTACCCCGCCCCTCGCACAGTGATTGCTGGACATGGGCACCAGCGACCCCCGTGACCCAAAATGGAATAAACGGGTAAAGATAATGGATGGATATTTAAAAAGCATCCTTTGATGTCTTAGTTATAAATGTATTTTGGCCAGTAAATAAATAATCAAAATCTACATAGATTTATTAAACATTGCTTAAATACACAGGTATATTTATATATACTGTATACATTTTACAGACTGACACACATTTTTCATAAATGGCTTGAAGCTTTTTTTTAAAATAACTATGTCATATTTCATTTGAATATTTTCATTCAGCCACAGCTCAAAAGGATGTTCACAATCTGACTAAAAGCGTTATCATGTTTCCGGTAAAGAACATTGCAGAGAAACATGATAGCGCAATTGTCAGGCTCTGTTGAAAACATCATTAGATTTTCAATCCCTTGGTCATGTTCCTCTGAATACAAGGTTGTACGCTATAAAAAAGTAGGTCCGGTGGGTAAATTTGGACATTTCTCAGACCACAGAGCTGTATTTGAACCAGGGGCTATGTGTTACATCTTTTTTGTCACAGCTGAGCTCGATTAATGGAGATCAGTGCGCGCTGAGGACAAAAGAGCTTCTAGTCACAAAGCGTTCAGGCTGAGACATGTTAGTCTCACTTTGTGGGAAAGTGTTATCTCGTTGTTATCATAGGAGTTCTCATGATCATGTGATTGCTGTTCAACAACATTTTAATACAGGTTGACTCATTTGTAATATTTTATCGACAAGTCATTCAAAATTCAGGACATATGACACTTTTTTTTTTTAATTTTGGTCAAAATCTATTTTTTATTAAACAAAATAACAACATAAAACTTTAAATGTATTTTTGCCAACTCTTAGAAGAACGTGAACACCTGAAAATAATACATAAACGAGGATTCTTGGTTAAAATAAACTACAGTAAACTGTGACGTTTGTTGTAGCAGCTGCTGCAGCATCTTCATGCCAGACTTGGTCAATAGCTGATTTATTTTAAGTGGCCAATATCAGCCGGTTAATCAGCCTATCTCTAGTATGTAATGTACAAAAGCTTTACATGTACACTGATGTGTTCATGTGATGACAACAAGAAAGATCGTTGTCGCACTGCTCGGTCAATTATCTGTTACCCAGCTTTAATGCCAGCTTTACTGGTATTGACATGTCCAGTGAGTCCAGTGTCAGACACATGTTTAAGATAATTTACACAGTGTCCACTAGAGAACAATGAAATGCCCTGGATTGAATGGTATGATTGTTCCCAAACCAAAAATCATTAAAACAGACTACCTGTGGTTGTGTGTAAGAGAACATGAGATGATGTGTTGCTCAGAACTGAGTAGAGAAATGTATTATTTACTGTTAAATTGACCAGCAAGATATAATAAATGTGGACCCATTACATCCTAATACCTAAGGAGAGTACTAAAACAAATCTGAACTAAAATATTAAATTTCCCAGAGTTAAGCAGTGTTGTCACAGTATTGGTATGATTAGTTTTATAACATATGGTTTAAAATGTGCATATGTACTTGTCATTAAAAATAAATTATCTATCCATTCATCATCCGTCCATCCATCCGTCCGTCCATCCATCTGTCCATCTCTGTCTATCTATCTATCTATCTATCCATCCATCCATCCATCCATCCATCCATCCATCCATCCATCTCTCTCTCTCTCTCTCTCTCTCTCTCTCTCTCTCTATATATATATATATATATATATATACATCTACCAGTATATATATATTTTTTCATTTAGCCTTTATTTATACAGGTTAGTCTCATTGAGCCACGAGAACTCATTTTCAAGAGAGACCTGTTTAGGGAGCACATGGTGGGGGTTAAGGGCCTTGCTCATGGGCCCAGAGTGGGGCGAATGAGGGTGGGGGCAAGTGTGGGTGTTTCACCTACCCCACCCACAATTTTGATGTTGTCGGGGCCGGGGCGTGAACCGGCGATCTTTGGATCACAAGCCCACCTCTCTAACCTCTGCGCCACCACTCCCCCATTATACATCTATCCATAAATCCATCCATCCATCCATCCATCCATCCATCCATCCATCCATCCATCCATCCATCCATCCATCCATCCATCCATCCATCCATCCATCCATCCATCCATCCATCCATCCATCCCAATAGTTAAAAGTCTTACAATGTAAAGTTTTTATTGTATTGTGCATTTAAATTCTAGGAAACAACAACAGTGTCATTTTGTCACCCATGACAAACTTAAGACAGACATGCAGAAATCCAGAAATCAGATTTTACTATAATATGGGTTTTTCTTGTTTTGTTTTATTTTCTGTTTCTTTTTGCTCTATGAGTTGCCATAGCCCACAATCACATTCCCAGTAAAGCAATTTACACTAAATCACAATAATTAAACCTGTGTAAATTAATTCTTATACATTGCTATGACTACTGGAAATATGATTAGCGTCCCCACGTCCCTGCATTGGAAAGTGAGTAAAGAAAATGAATAAATGTGGTTGATACGTTGCTCAAATATTAATTAAATCTACAGTAAATATAAGAAAAGAAATCAGAGAAGTCTGATAGAATCCATGCTTATGAAGAATTTGGGGAAAATAAATGGATGTGGCCCATAGGTCATCGAGTATTCACATGTTCGTGCTCATGCCACAACTAATGTGTCTTCTGAACTTGACACATCAGAGAGATAAATCATTAGGCTCTCAGGACAAATTACCCATGCAAAGATGTGGAAGTTGCAAACAAGAGAAAGGTCAGAGTAGTCAGGCAGGCTTTGTGAATGTTTAATACGGTGCCCTTTTGGATTGTGCTAAACTTGCTTCAGATGTGATCAATCAGAACTCATTTGCAGGACCCTTCACATAGTGATCAGTAGAGGGCAGCCCTGTGGCTCATTTTCACTCCCGCTTTGTTCAAATTCATCTTGGAAGCCAAGGAGTGATATTTTTTTGTCAAATTAAATTCATTGTTTTCCTGTTAGTTAGACAGACGGATAAAGCACCTAACCATGTCTGAGATCCACCCCAAAGTTCATTCAGTTATCATTTGAGAAACACCAGAGGTGCATAAAAAAAACTTGTTTTAGTTTAATTTGGAAGCCAGCAAGCCTTACTGTACCTTCAGACCACTGGTCTCATAGCTGAAGATGGATTGTACAGTGCAGCCCTCGCTGTTTCTGTGTCCCTACCCCTCAGAGGAAGAGAGCAGGCGTTCACATGATTCTGCAAGGCTCTCTGCATGTGATGATTGCTCTGAGATGTGGCTTTTGAGGGATCATAAATAATGAACAGCCGTGTGCCCATTCTCATAATTTTTACACGACGATTATCATTTTGTGCTCTTTTCATGCTATCAGAAGTGGGGCGCCGGTGGCTGTTCTTCTTTCTGCCTCTTCACTTCATCTCAGTCAAAAAGAAAAGAAAACCCCTCATAATTCCCCTCTTTTCTGTTGTGCCATAACACTTTGTGGCTGTAATGTCCAAACAAACGTAGCAATGAGGCAAACTGTCCAGTGTGGAGCACCTTGGAAGTTACCCACAATGCATTTACATTGCATCTCTGCTGCATTAATATTGCATCAGACTCTGCAGCCCTTTCTCTTTCAGATGGTATAATGTGGAACTGAAAATACATATTGTAACACATAAACCTACTTTTCCACACCAGTTCACTGTTAATGCCCACCGAGTCTTGATAAAAGGAGCAAAAATTTGATTTTCTAAACAATTCCTCTGTGGGGCAGACCAATAGAGCAGTTCTAATTCACTGCTGCCCTAACTGAGTGCATTTAGTGAGATGAAGGACTACTTCCATGGCTACATCTGCAAGTCGTATCCGATTAAATCAAGCTACCATAGCTCATAAGCTATGTAAGAACTGAACCATACATTCCCGTCACATGTTTCAAATGCAGCATGAAATAATAAGTTTGTGGAGCCTCCCGAGGCATCATCAAACTTCAAACTGTGTTAATAAAAGTGGAGAATCTATTTTTGGACCTCCCTAACGTCCGACCCCACTTCATTCTGACCTTTATTCCAGCGATCAGTGAGTAATCTCCTGACTACACCCTGATGCAAGCCCGTGGATACTGCTGCATTGTGCTCTGAAATCAATCCAGCGAGAGCAAGACTGAGTAAAGACTACAGAACATTTTAACATTCTTGGCCAGTGAGAATCAATCTGCAGCAGTCCACCGGGGAAAACATTTAGCTCCTCATTTTCATGGTTGTCCTTGCGCTTTTATCCCAGCTCACAAAAGGAAAGAGGAAAAACGACAAAACAGTCGGTGCTGTGATTGAATATGAACATTAACATGAAACAGACAAAAATCTGCTTTTCCCTCAAGATTTAGGGATTGGAAGACAATTATTCTACTTCCTCTCCGTGTGTCTCAACCAGCTGTTAATCAAACGTATGCATAGTTTGTGTCCCACAACGAAACACAGCAGCAAAGACATCCTGTAGCTGCTGCTGTTGTGGAGTCTTTGCCCCCCCTACCCCCCCCCCCCCCCTCCCCCCCCCCCACGGAGCCCCCCCCCCACACACACACACACACACACAGTCGCACCAGATTAGATTGATCATTCTTGGCGTGCACAATTTATTTGACTTCATTGTCCTCCCACTCACTTGTTAGTGCTCGTGTCAGAGATGTGCATATTCTGCAAGTGTGCATGCGGAGTGTGTGTGTGTGTGTACCGAAGTCATGACCTTATTGGATATTTTCTCAGTACGTAACGTGTTTGAACAAGTTATGCAGCACGACACATGGCAGATTCTTCTCATACTTCATGGTTCTGCTTTACATAATGTTCATTTGTCTGTGAGTGCTTGTTTGTCTGTGTGTGTCTGTGTGTGTGTGTGAATGAGTTTATCTGCATGCTTCTCTTGTGTTTGTGCACACACAGGGAAGTAACGTGATGGAGGACCAAGATCTAAGAGACATGGGGATCACTGATCCGGGACACAGAAAGAAAATTCTCCACGCGGCACGCGGCTTGCCCAAGGTACTTAACACTATGACCTGGCACATAGAGAAAAGGCCTGAAAGTAAATCAGTAAAAGTGTTTGTGTAGGGGAGGGGTGCTTTTATATTAATATTTGATAAGCTAAAATGACATGATTGTAGGGGGAGAAGAGCTCAGACTGTGGAAAAACGTCCCTTCAGCTATGGTTCTGACGTTCTGGACAAACAAACACTTTCAGGCAACAAACTGAGGAGCAAACAGCAGAAATACTTTGTGTTGCTTTGATAAAAAATTCAACTCAATGAGATTTACATTGTTTCCTATTGATTAAAGACACTTGTGCTGCTTTTAGATGTCTCAGTGTGCCGATTTAATTATTTTCAATTAGTGGGAATTATCTTTGTTCTCATTTAATAAGAAATCCTGAAATTCTGTGGTATTTGGAGAACTTCTTGGTAAACAGAAGACGAAAACTAAAGTTACAGGGAATATGAAGCTTAGATTTATTTATTTGATTATATGTTTTAAGGAAGAATGGATTGAGTGATGGATAAATGTAAAGAATAGTATTTTTTTTTCTCTAGTATAAAACTTAATTTTATTTGTTTGGATGTACAGTAAGTCCAGTTAAACTTAACTTGCTCAACACTGCAGGTAAATGGGAGGTTTTAGTGTGACACTAAATGTAAACTTACCATTGAATCAAACAAAATAGCACCACTCGACTAATGAAAAGTGTAACTTGGAAAGCTATTACTCATTAGGCTAAGGTACTTTTAATATAGTACTTTGTTTATTGCTATATATCTTCTTGGTAAAGCTTTTTACAGGATTATTTTGTATTTTAATTTAACTAAGTCTTTTATTTCACAAACATTTCTGACAAAGGTCCATGTTTTTGTGTCATTCCAATGTTGAGCAGCAGTGAAAGATAAATGTTCTCCAAAGTAAAACACAAAAAATAAATATTAACTAGAGAAACTGCATTTCCTGCGAAAATGTAGTGTGAATGCTCACTGCAGAAGAACTTGTTGGAAAACAGCTGAAATTAGCTAAAAAAAACATGCTGAAATGTAGCGGAAAAGGTGGAACAAGCTTAAATTAGCAAAAGAAAGTAGAAAGAACACGCGTTTGCCAAATTAGGCTGAAAGAAGCAGACATGAGCCAAAAAACCATTGGAATTATCTAAAAAAAAAAAGGAAAAAAAGAAAAAAATTTCAAAATAAAAAAAAAAACTGCAGAAAAGTAGCTAAAAAAATCAGAAAGGAACTTAAATTACCGGAAGGAAATGGAGAGAGCATATTTTTGCTTAATTAGACTGAAAAAGGTTGAAAGGAGTGCCAAATATATGGAATTAGCTGAAAAAGCTCAAATTAGCAAATAAACAGCTAAATAGTAGCTGGAATAACTTAAACCAGCATAAATAAGCCGAAAGGAGCATAACAAGATGAAATGACCATAAAAAAGTTAATTGGGCTGAAAGTAGCAGAAATTATTGCAAAAAACTTGAATTTATCTGAAAACAGCTGAAGTTAGCTAAAAATGCTAAAAGGAAGCTGTAAAGATAGAACAAGCTTAAATTAGCAGATGAAATCAGAAAGAACACATTTGTCCAATTAGGCTAAAAGAAGCAGAAATGAGCACAAAAAGTGGAAATTATCTGAAAAAAGCTGAAATTAGAACAGCTGAAAAGTAGCTAAAAAACATGAAGCTTAATTACACGAAGGAAGTGGAGAGAACACATTTTTGCTGAATTAGGCTTACAAAAGTTTGTGCAAAAAAATGTGAAATTAGCCGAAAAAACTAAAATTAGCATTAACCAGCTAAATATAGGTTCAAATAACAGAAATGTGTATAAATTGGACCTCACAGCCGCCTTTGACACCATCGACCATGAGATCCTCATTGCTAGGTTGGAGAAGTGGGTGGGCGTCACAAAATCAGCCCTCAATTGGTTCAGATCTTACCTCGCTGACAGATCCTTTTGTGTCTCCATCAAGGATTTTAGCTCCGCAGAGGCAGAGCTTAAATAGGGGGTTCCGCAGGGGTCCATCCTGGGTCACCTCCTATTCTCTTTATACCTGCTGCCGCTTGGTGCTATTTTCCGGAAACACAACATGCCCTTCCACTTCTATGCCGATGACTGTCAAATTTACTTCCCCCTAAGACACAATGGTACATGCTCTATTCAACCGCTGCTCAACTGCCTGGCTGACATCAGGGACTGGATGGCTTTAAATTTCTTGTTTCAATGAAAAGAAGTCTGAAGTCATGTTGTTCCCTCCCAACGACACAATCACAAACCACTGTATCGACCTCTCCGCTCTAACCCTGTCAAAAAACAAAGAGTCACTAATCTGGGCATGATAATGGACCCTTCCCTGAAGCTTAACAATCATGTAAACATGATTGTTAAATCATGCTTCTTCCAACTGAGGCGGCTGTCTAAGCTGAAGCCCATATTGTCCAAAAATAACCTGGAGACAGTAATACATGCATTCATTACATCTAGGCTTGATTACTGCAATTCGCTCCTGTTTGGTATCAGTCAGTCAGACCTCCATTGCACGACTATAACTGGTCCAGAATGCAGCAGCCCAATTTTTAACCAGTACAGGCAAAAGAGAGCACATTACACCAGCTTTGGCCTCACTGCAGTGGTTACTGGTTCACTTTCGAATCCAGTTCAAAATACTCATGTATGTCTACAAATCACTGAAAAGTTTTGCCCCCCATCTCTCTGATCTGCTACAACCGTATGTCCCACCACGTTCCCTGAGGTCAGCGGACCAGTTGCTCCTCACAGTTCCAGGAACTCGTCTTAAGCGCAGAGGTGACAGGGCCTTCTCTGTAGCAGGACCAAGACTCTGGAACGAGTTACCTCTGCTTGTCAGACAGGCCCCCTCTCTCTCGGTTTTCAAGTCCCGTTTAAAAACTCACTACTATTCAGTAGCTTTCAACACCAGATGATCTGTGTTTTGATCCTGTATGCTCTACACTGGTTTGTCGTCATTATCTGCATCGTTTTTATGTCTATATTCTGATTTACTTCATTTTGTATTTTGCTTTGTGTGTTACCTGTTATTTTGTCTGTAAAGCACTTTAGTTAGCCTTGTAGCGGTTTTAAGTGCTTTATAAATAAAGTGGTATGGTATGGTATAAATATGCTGAAAGAAACATAACAAGCTGAAATTAGCAGAAATAAGTTAGAAGAAGTAACACTTTACAATAACGTACACAAAATTTGATTAACTACCGGGGAACGCCTCAGGAACGAATCAGGAGCTAATGGGTTGTTAACCAGTACTTACTGGGGAACACACAGCCAAGCCTTATTAGGGGACAACTGGTTAGTTACCTTGTAAATGAAGAGGAACCAATAAAGAACTAATTGGTAGTTACCAAGGGAACCAAAGAGGAACTAATCAGGAGCTTATTGGTTGTTAACCAGTACTTCCTGGTGAACACACATCCAAGCCTTATTAATAGACTACTGGTCCCATGTGGGTTCTCCATGTGGGTTCTGAATAAACCCTGCACCAGTGAGATCACAGCTCATAATTGTCTAAAACCTGTTTCCTAGTGATTATTGATTTTATTGGATATTCTCTTTTGTATACCTATTGATGAAAAACACGATCAGTTTCATATTTGTGTACTTCTGTCATCTTAACTATGTCTGACTTAGGGCATTAACATAGTACTGAGTAATCTACACATCGATTGCTAGGACATCTATCGATGTTAAAAATGTAAAGTCGGGTATCCGTAGTGACGTCATATTATGTGACCACGTATGACCATAGGGGGCGGTGTTGCACTGTTGCAGGTCACAGAGTTTGGTGTATCACCGGGTCCTATCCACCGAACCAGAACCAGTTTCAGTTTAAGTTTCGTTTTTGACGTGCTGCGTTTCTTCACGTTTGCAGTTGAATAATAATAACTAATGGTTTAGTTTTTCCTGTGACTTATTTGCAGTATGATAAATGGTAGGAGCATAATATACGCTCCCAATGTTTTGTTGGTCTTTTTTTTTGTTGTTGTAAATAATTACCGTTTTTTGCGGTTTTATTTATTAATTTATTTTTGTATCTTGAGATTTATGACATCATCAAATACTTGAGTTCTACTCGGGTTTTATTATGTTAATGTCGAGTTTAAAAATTATATACTCGTTCAACCCCTAGTCTGACTATCACTGAGTACTAAATCATTGCCTGGCTATTATTGTGTTCACTGAAGCATCATACCAAATACTTACTGAGGAACCAGTCATTACTTAATCACTACCTGACCATTACCTACTGGTTTGTTCCTGTGGTAACAAACCATTTTTCCCCTAATAAGGCTTGGCTGTGTGTTCCCCAGTAAGTACTGGTTAACTACCCATTAGCTCCTGATTTGTTCCTGATTTGTTCCTGAGGCATTCCCTAGTAGTTAATCAAATTTTGTGTACCTTATTATAAAGTGTTACCAAATAATATACTGATGCATGCTCAGTAATCAACAAATCAATTATAATCATAATCATCAGAATAATATCCTGATACATGCTCAATAATCAATAATAATAATAATCAATAATCAATCAATCAATAATAACTGGTTGAGCCGCTGTGAGAAGGTATTATTTATGACTGAGCTTAGTACAGCTCAGCTCCTCAGACTGAAGAAGTCTTTCAGATGAAAGACAAAACATTTCTGCACTTATTATTTTTTGAACCCATCCAGAGGACCTGACAACTTTTTTAGATAAGTAGGAAGAAGCACAAAAATGTTGTAGTTAGCAGAAAGAATCTGAAAGGAGCATAAACCAGCTGAAAAAACAGCTGAAATTAGCTGAAAGTAGCTGAAAAAAAGTTTTAATTTGCACAAGGAAGCTGAAAGAAGCTAAATCCGAACAAAATGTGAAAGGAGCAGTAAAAGACTGTAAACAGATCTAAAGATTTGAACGATGTAAAATTAACTCAATTAATTTTCTATGAGGAAAAAAAGTGTCAGAAAAGGCTTAATATTTCAAAAAGCTAAAGTTGCAACAATAACAAAAGTCAAAGCACCCTTCCCCTGGAGGAGCTGAACATTTTGATAAATGATTTGTTGAAATAGCCCAAAAAATGTGGAAAGAGAAAGATGCTAAAAATGGATGGAAAAAAATGTATCACAATAGAGTGAATGCTTCATAAACATTCACACAATAATCCCTCAGTGGATATATAAGCACATCATGGTCCTCAACCCTAAAGTCAAATCAGAAACAAAGAGAAAGTCCATTTAAATAAATGTATTGTTAATTGAATAAATGTAATTGTTTATTTAAAGATGAATTGTTTCAAATACATATTGGTCTCATAAATGCGTGCTTATATTACCTTCAGTGAATAGCAGTCTAAATTTAGAGAATCAAGGAGAAATTTTCAGATGACTCGCTGTGGCGACCCCTGAAGAGCGAAACGCCGAAAGAAGAAAAAGAAGAAGAAATTTTCAAGTGGACATCAAGATAACCACAAACCTGAGCACGGCTCATTAAACATATTTCTTCCATTTAAACTCAAACTCAACTCCCCTGCAGTTTAAAAGCTATATTTTATCTTTTCAACACCTACCTGGTATTTCTGCATTAATAGAATTGTGCTTTCTTTGTTTCTTTAGTTCATTTTTTGGCCACCATCACAATCACTTTATTGCTGTTCACTTATTTATTTTATTTATTTTTTTTGCTGTAAGGCGCTACGTTCCACTGTAGGAGAAGTGCTTTATGAATAAAGTTTGATGGATGAATTAACATTACAGTGTTTGCGTTGGTCCACTACCTGTGTCTTGGACATCTTCCACCGATCTGCAAGAAGTTGGTTCATTTCTCCAACAAACAACAAAGTTCTTTGTCTGATCTGGCCCATGCACATATTCTTTAACCCACAGAAAAAAAGCCACACTGACTTTGGTTTAATGATGGCTCAGTTTTACTCTATAGTTGTTTGGGGATTTGTCATGGCTGATCAGCAGCAGGGTTTAGTTTGCAGGAATTATCTCTGTGTAGGGAATTACATAAACGATAAACGTAAGGTGACACAGATTACTCAAAGCTACTCTACAACCCCTCTTTAAGCAACTCAGACATTCCCTTTAGGTCCTTATTTTTTGCTGACGTCACACCATTTGCTGACCCATGTGTTTCTGTCTGTCCGTAGATTAAACCTTTGGGCTGTGATGGCAGCACGTCACTCTCCTCTTGGTTGGACGGCCTCGGCCTGCATGAATATCTGCCCAACTTTCTTACTAATGGTTACCGGACTCTGGAGTGTGTTAAGAATCTGTGGGAGCTGGAAATCGTCAACGTAAGAATCTATTGATTATTTAATTGTCACGTGGACATGAATCATGCTGACTTGGTCTCCTTAATTGCAAGGACACTTTGAGCTTAAAGAACAAAAAAAAACACAAAAAAACCCCAGAATAAATGCTGAAGAAGGGCTCTGTAATGGAATAATTTGCATAAAACTAGCAGAAACATTTTCTAAACCCCAGAGTAATTAGTAGAAAACTAACAGATGATATAAATCAAGGGTGAAAAATGGTGAGGGATGACAGGAAATGTCTAATTTGGTTTGATTATGTGGAAACAGTGTGATAGTTTATGATAACCGGTAATTACAAAAAAATGACTCATACATTTTGGTTTGGAGACTGATGATGCAATGGAGAAATGGATGTTGCATTTTTCAACGTGTGTGTGTGTTGTTCAGAAAGAACTGTGTGTGTGTTTTTAAGATGTTTATAAGTCAGATTATTCAAAATATGTTGGTAAAAATAAATTGCAGTTGTCTCAAATTTAAATCGATCTTTTTTTGTGTATAGGTTTTGTTTTTGGTCCATAGAATTGTTCATATCACATCAAGAGTGTCACAAACATTTCTTCAGAGATTCATAATCAGATTAAGGGTTTGAAAGGGTTCATAATTGTGTTTGTAAATTAAATTTGTTAAAAAAAAGTTCTGGGATTAAACTTTTGCTCCTTTTGGTTTGAGAATAATTCCCATCAGCTAACCAGCCATAACATTACATCCACCGAGGGTGGTATCTTACCTGGCCTTCATGAAGGAGCTCCCATAATTCCTTGTGCTCTTTGAAACGTTCTTAATTGCACGAGTCGCAGAGACACTCAGTCCTGTCACTTGAGTTTTGAGCAGGTTCTAAAATTCTAGCGACAAGTTTTATCTTGAAATTATCCTAGTTATCCTTCTAGACACAGAATCAGAATAAGCTTTATTATCATTGCACCGGGCAGCACGGTGGCGCAACTGGTAGAGCTGCTGCCTCTCAGCGAACAGGTCCCTGGTTCAAACCCCGATCCAGGTGACTTCTGGGTGGAGTTTGCATGTTCTCTCCGTGCATGCGTGGGTTTTCTCCGGGTACTCCGGTTTCCTCCCACAGACCAAAAACATGCATGTTAGGCTGATTGGTAACTCTAAATTGTCCCTAGGTGTGAGTGAGAGTGAATGGTTGTTTGTCTCGTTTGTCTCTATGTGGCCTGTGATGGACTTGCGACCTGTCCAGGGTGTACCCCGCCCCTCGCACAGTGATTGCTGGACATGGGCACCAGCGACCCCCGTGACCCAAAATGGAATAAACGGGTAAAGATAATGGATGGATGGATGGATCATTGCACCGAAGTACATTGCACAGTGAGATTATGTCCGTACAGTCATCCGAAAGATGGGCGGAGTGCATGTTGCTGCTGCTCCTAAGAGTGTGACCCTTATTCTTTAGATAGAAAAGGGGAAAAAGCCATGAGGAAAGGATAGTGGTATTACAAAAAAACCCCTCTTCAAACCATGTCCTTGTCAGGACATGATTTAAGACATCAAAAAACTCTATCTGCAAGCACATTTATAGACACATTACATATGCATTTGACGACAAGACGGTGAGATTTATCCATGAAGCACTTCCAGATAGCACCATAATCCTGATAAGATGTTGTCAGCCGGTACAGCTGTTAATATACATTGGAATGTCTCTTTCACCATAATGGAAATGGACTTTAACTGGGACTTATATTAAATAGTTATTCTCATGATATAAAGAGCCAGGTGGTGAAAGGGTTACATTTTTAGACATTCATTCAACCTTTATTTATACAGGTTAGTCTCAATGAGCCTCGAGGACTCATTTACAAGAGGGACCTGTTTTAAACAAAGAACACAGATTAACATTTTTAAGGATAAATTATGATGTCCTGAACTTGGTTCTGTTGGAGGTTTCTTCCTGTTAAAAGGACGTTTTTCCTTTCCACTGTTGCCTTTGTGCTTGCTCAGGATGGGAGACTGCAACATTATGAAGATTCAATGAGTCTGCCTGCTTGTTATGCTTTTATATTGTGCAGATTTCTCAATTTCTGAATTTAAATGGTAAATGGTAAATGGACTGTACTTATATAGCGCCTTTCTATCTTATTTCAAGATACTCAAAGCGCTTTACACTACAATCTGTGCCCTCATTTACCCATTCAGACAGCACTCTACTAGATCGCTACAAAGCTAATTGAGCAAATCATTCTAAAGAGACTAATCAGAGCTTTATCACATTCATACACTGATGGGACACATATCAGAGGCTATGAGGGGTTCAGTGTCTTGCCCAGGGACACTTAAACATGTGACTGCTGGTGGATTCGAACTTCCAACTCTCGCATTGGAGGACAATTGCTCTAACCACTCAGCCACAGCTGCCCCTAATTTACATTGCATTTACATAATTATTTTGGGCTACTAAATACATTTTTTGCAAAACATCAATGTGATTTTTTGTGACATCAGATGTGGGAAACTTTAAACGTTTACAGATAAGACATCTTCGATTAGGTGCCATACAATGGCAACCAGACAGAAGAACCCAAATGTGTGCTGTACAATCAAAGAGCTGAAACCTGGACTTCAAGATAATTCAGAAATGCATTGCTTAAGTTTGTGAGTCTGGTTGCACTAAATGCTAAACCGGTGGCGATAAAACAGCTGCAGCCGATGCAGTGTGTGTGGGATGGTGTCCAGCAGACTGCGATGCAGAAAGATGGGGGTCTGAGTGCAAGACACATTACTCTCAGCGTGCAGAGCAGCAGAACTGCCTCTCAGCATCTTGGCAGAACCCACTTTGTCCATTACATTTCCTACATCCTCTTCAGCATATTACAGAAAATGGCACTGAGCTCCTCAGTGATCTATGGGCTTGGTGACGTGCCCAAATAATCCCAAGGTTCTGTTCACAAGCCTTGAATACGTTAGTCTCACTGGGGTTTTGTGCATAATTAGTGTAAAAAAAACATCACCTGACAGTGAACATGCAGATCAGTTTCTTCTTCTGCCTCAAACTCTGAACAAGTAATTGAACTCTTCAGACAAAGAATTATATGAGCCTGTTCTGGAAAATTTTGTACCAGGAACATAATTGCAAATGTAACATTAATCACTTAGCATCCACCCTTTGTGGATGAATATGAATGCTAATAGCCAATTATACAATGTATAGTATTAGAATGATGGGTTTTGATTACCTAAAATTAACCTACGCTTCCTCCTGTGAAGGTTTTAGGCACATGAGCAGATGTGGTATGTTGTGGTTTAAAAAGATGGATTTTTTTTGTTGTTGCGCTATTATTATATCATAAATTATTAACGCGTATTTCACCAGTGATTTAACAATGGCTTTTTGTACCATTCAGATAGGCTCTCTCAATTATTGTCTGAAAACAGTGGTCTTTGGTTCAAACATGTTCCACCAAAATGTATTTTTCTTCTTAATAAATATATTTTAATTATCTTTCTAGACAGCCATGCTAGTTTTCTTAACTCACCATATTGTTTTTCAGGCATTCACCTTTCTGTGGGCTGGCAGCTTCTCTCTGCAGGGATAAGCAAAGGGAAAATCATGGGTCAGACAGAGATATTACTGTAAATGCTGGAAAAGCTGCACCATCTAAGGAATTACCATAAATACGAAAAACGCTAAAATGAAATGCCATAAATGTAGCAAAAACTGCACCACCTAAAATAATTTCCCGTAAATGCTAAAGTAGGTCTTCCTGCTGTAAATGTTAAAAACATTTGTGCCACCTAAAATAAATGACCAGTAATACAGAAAAATGTACAAGTAAAAATATACACACATTTTTTCCTAAAGTATTTTTTTGTACTGAAATTTTAACAACCACCCTCAGTCCAGATAAGACTTGATATGGGTCCAGATCTGGACCACCGTCTTCCATTTGAGGACCTCTACCCTAAAAGTCTGTGAAGTTCTGTCTATTTTTGAAGCTCGACATCTAAAACTATCTCGTGAATTATAGAGTGTCCCAAGAAGGACACAGAGTTGTACTTTAGGCTTACAGCAAAACAGATTGGGGCTGAATTATTGACGAGAGTCACTTCTGTTTGGCTTCCAGTGAAGGGAACATGCCATCAGCTCTGTCGGTGGGTTTTGGACGTATCTCTGTTAGCATTGTCTGGATAAATCCTTCTGCATGATTTATTGACAGTGCATGACAGTGGAATTCAACTTCTCATTCTCATGTTATCCTCTCCAGGTTATTAAAATCTGCGCTTTAGGACACAGGAAGAGGATCATTGCCTCTTTGGCAGAAAGACCCTATGAAGAGGCGCCCTCCAAATCCCGTCGACTGTCCCCAATTTTGGTAAGACCATTGATGGATTTTCCTCGTGTCTGTGTGATTCTTTGTCTGTCTGTTACCACAAGATTTCAAGAACCATTGGATGGATTTGAATAAAGCTCACGCAAAGTATTTTTTTTCTTTCATTCAACCTTTATTTGTACAGGTTAGTCACATTGAGTCACAAAAACTCATTTACAAGAGAGACCTGTTTTAAACAAAGAACACAGATGAGGTACAAACAACAATAGATAATCATAAAAGCATGTAAAATGAAAAGTAAATAAAATAAATTTATAAAAATGAAACAAAAACAGCTATGTTATAAAGCAATGTAAAACATTAAAAAACGGAACATGTCTGTTTTGGTTTTTGCCATGAACTTAGCAGTTGTTTAAAATCCCTTAGAGAGGTCAAAGTCGACAACTTCAGATCTTTTTGCAAAATGTTCCAGGATACAGGAGCGGAGTAGGAGAAGGCTCTTTTGCCAAGTTCGGCTCGCACTGAGGGGACACTGCATGTAATGATGTCTGGAGAGTGCACACTGTAGCTGCACTGACGAAGTGACATGTAGGAGGAGATAGAGTATATAAAGGCAACAGACCAAGAAGTGATTTAAAGATGAAAATACACCTGTCTGTATGAAGTTAATGATGACCAGTTAATCAATAAATACAGAGTGCTGTGTTGGGTACGATAGTTACAGCCAGGTATGCATCTTAGTGCACTGTGATAGACGGTGTCCAACATCTGCAAGAAGTATGCAGGAGCATTCATGTAAATAATGTCACCATAGTCAATGGAGGGAAGGAAAGTCACATTCACAAGTTGTTTCTTAGCGTTCACAGTCAGAAAGGATCTATTTCTGAAAAAGAAATCCAGTTTTACTTTCAATTTCTTTACCAAATATTTGACATGAAGCTTAAAAGAGAGATTCAAATTGACCAAAATACCCAAGTATTTGTAGAAATCGACAAACTTAATAATAGCACCATTCGTAGATAAGATAGAAGGAAGGACTGCTAGTACCAACTTCCTGTTTGAAAACAACATCCCTTTGGATTTAGCAGCATTTAGCACCAATTTGAGATGGAACAAATCTGGATTATGATGTTGAATGCAGACTGTAAAACCTGGAAAACCTTAGCAACTGTTTTAGCTCCACAATAAACAACTGTGTTGTCGGCATAGAAATGTAAGGATGAACCAGAAATGGTCTGCCCTAAAGTACTTATGTAGATTGTGAAGAGGGTGGGTCCAAACACTGAGCCTTGTGGTACACCATTTTTGACAGTTAGTTGGATGAATTACCGGTATGTTGAACATATTGCATTTGATCTGAGAGATAATTAGAGAAGCAACCAATGGTGTGTTCTGAGAAACCAATTTCTGAGAGCTTACATGACATAAGATGTCATGGTCCACAGTGTCAAAAGCTTATCTACAGCTACAGCTACAACTACAGTTTATCTATTATCTACAGCTTTTGGAGTCCAGCCATTTCAAGATGGCTGCCATAGTCAGCTGACTTTGAAAAACAAGATGGCTATAACTCGATTAATTTTACAACTATAGATCTAAAATTTGGTATGATTGTAGATGAAAGTTTTTCACAAAACTGAGCATCAGGCAGTATTATGTGAGATTGTTTTAGTCAGGTTTTTACCAAATAGGCTGCAGCTTCATCATTTCTCAATTTAAGATGGTTGTAATCCAAAACTCTGGCATTCCTTCATTGATGCCAAACCTTCAATTATGCTTTAATATGCAGGCGTTGACTCAACAAACGCTGTTTAATATTTGCTCTGTTATAACTTTATGAAACATGAAGCACTTAACAGCACTAAGACTGCCGCAATGTCAGTGCTCCTTTTAACCAATGATGTGCAGAAATACGCTGTCAACCCTAATTAGGTTGATGCATTAGATATGCTTAATGTGCACAATTAGAAGGGTAGTTCTGCTCATGTTCTCTGGATAACCTTTAATTAGTGTCACTAAATTTCGCAGAAGTGTTTTTTTCACTGAATCCCATTTGTTAATTTGTGTTGATACATTTCATTGGGGGTTTAGCCTGAGCTACAGTTAAACAACATGACATAGCTGCAATTCCGTGGCACAATCCTATTTTTTCATGTGAACACAGATTCTTCCCTTCCTTGAAGAGATGTCTAAATTCTGAAAAAAAAAAAACAGAATAGTTTTCATAACTAGAGAAACTGCATTCTCTGTGAAAATGCAGTGTAAACGCTGAGAGATGAAAACTGCTGAAGATTTGTTGAAGAACCTAAAACGGAACAGTTGAGTTGAAATGAGCTAAACAAAAGCTACAACCAGAAAATAAATAAAGAGCTAAAAGATAAAATGAAATAAAATGGTAGCTAAAATTGAAGCTGGCAAAACAATAAGTAAGCACTGAGACCAGCAAAACAGTAGCTAAAAGTATCCTGATGCATGGTCTTTATTATTTTAATGAGATAACAATATAAATCAAATAAAACTTTTAAAATATAAGTAATATAGTTATAAAAGGGCAGCACGGTGGCGCAACTGGTAGAGCTGCTGCCTCTCAGCGAGCAGGTCCCTGGTTCAAACCCGGTCCAGGGGCCCTCTGGGTGGAGTTTGCATGTTCTCTCCGTGCATGCGTGGGTTTTCTCCGGGTACTCCGGTTTCCTCCCACAGACCAAAAACATGCATGTTAGGCTGATTGGTAACTCTAAATTGTCCCTAGGTGTGAGTGAGAGAGTGAATGGTTGTTTGTCTCGTTTGTCTCTATGTGGCCCTGTGATGGACTTGCGACCTGTCCAGGGTGTACCCCGCCCCTCGCACAGTGATTGCTGGACATGGGCACCAGCGACCCCCGTGACCCAAAATGGAATAAACAGGTAAAGATAATGGATGGATGGATGAAGACTGCTCTTTAATAGTCTTAATTCAATTTTTATACTTTTAAACAACGGGTATTTTTCATTCAAGACACACCAAAATGTTTAATTTCAACTTGCAAAAATTACAGTTTTGAGAAAATTAAAAGTATCAAAAATCACATTAAAACTTTACCTATTCACATAATGAACATAAATGTATAGCCGCTTCTTGAAATTATTACAGAAAACTCTTTACATAAAACTGAACAGAATCATAACAGCAATAATCATACAGGACTTAATTTGTAAACCGATCAATGCCGGAAAGCAAATAGTGGGCGGGCCGGCGAGTGAGGGTGGTGGGAGTCTGAAGATCCTCCCCCAGAAAATTTTTAATAAAGTTAATGTGATGTCCTGCACTTTGGTGTATTTTGACAGGTTGTTAAACATCTATGTGCTTGTAAAAAATATTTTTTTTGTACCCCCAAACATTGGCTTGCGGACCCCCAGGGACCCAGTTTGAGAACCACTGCCCTAGATGGCAGCTCTCTGCTCCACATAGAGGGCTGTGGTAGCTCGGTGGTCTGTGGTTACATCTGGAATGGCATCTGGCGTTAACCCCCC